ACCTGTTACATAGGGTACACAAAGGTCACTATAGATGAACAAGCTTTCAGGTAAACCCCTGGCCAGACTGGCAGGTAGATATCCCTCACAATACGGCTTTGCGTTTGTGAAACTGTGCACGCGCCTCTCAAACCCCAACATATCAGCCAATTTATCCGAAAAGTCTAATGCGTGTACCGTGCTACTGCATGTTTTGGAGGTGCAATGTCTTCCAATTTTCACAAAGCCTTGTTGGGTAGAATACTCAAATTTTATATGATCCTTCAAGGGTGCAAAGTTATTCATGAAACCTACGAGATCGGTCAGGTCCTTGAAAACCGCAGTAGGTAGAAAAAATGTTTGTGGTAGATTTGCCTTGCCCTTATTGTCTTTTCCGCTACTAACAAAGTTGATGGAGGCATCTTTCCTATCACGTATATGTAAAAAATTACAAGGAAACTGTATTTCACTCAGGCCCACAACCCATTCTCCTTCCAACTCAACTTGTTTCGGGAGTAATGTTGTATATTTTGATGCTGTATTATCAGGATGATAGTCCATGCTGCTGTTGCTTGGGAGTACCATATAAAATTCGTTCCTCTTCATTTTTTTCCAATGACGTGCAGCTCTGACGCAGGTATCCACGAATCAAATTTATCAGGATATCCCTCCCAATGAACAAGAATTTGTTTATTTTTTCCTTTTCCTTTAGAGCGTATGACACGTTCAACTACGAATTCATCCTTGTCCGTTTGTTTATTGACAAGCACCAACTCTGGCTCGTAAAAAAATCCTTCAATTTGTTCATCAGCTAAATCTTTCAGCTCGTATATTGGTAATGATTGTTTGAGGACTGCTTTCGTTATTTGGAATATTTCTTTACTCCAATTAGTCTCATATCCTTTCTCAAAGATGCCTTTCGCTCGACTGATGCGCACATAGTCCCCAACTTTGTATTTAAAGGTTTCTTTACGAGATTTCTCCGACTTGTACCGATTTTGTATATTACGCCATGCATATGGAGCATTATCGATATTAACAGTCGCAGGTGCCATTTTTATTGATGAATGTCTCGAGTTGTTATAAGAGTCGACAATTTGTTCCAACACATCCATATATTTATATGTTCGACTATGTGTAAAGTAACGCCACATGCGCTCCTTCAGTGTCCGATTGAAACGTTCCACGATTGCGGCTTTTATGTCAGGATTACGCGCAACACGAAATTGAATTTTTTTATCAGAGAAAAATTTTTGGACACTGCTAGCCATAAATTCTTTTCCCTTGTCAGTTTGTATACAAACAGGCACACGACCACCGCTCCTTCTCATTATACGTTTAAAGCCCTCGAGTACCTGCGGTGCCGACTTGTCCTTCAATGGTTCAACCCAGGCAAACTTGCTTAAAACGTCAATGACCACAAGTAAATATGAAATCCCATCATTGTATGTCTTTAGTGATCTCAACTCAACCAAATCAGCCTCCCATACATCATCAATGTTTGTCACTGTATAATGTAACCGTGGAAATTTACGTCTGATGGGTCTATGGAGAGTATAAGTATTCTGTGCGTTTAGCCAATTTTTTATTTTATTTTTTTCAATTTCATTCTTATATTTTGTGAGAATATTTCGTGCTCCCGTATAAGCCACAGGCTCTGGAGGATGAAAATAGGCCCCCGATAGTTTCTCTTCTTCTAAAATTGAAGCCATGATGAAAGTCCTGAGGTCTTCTTTTCTTTTTTGCCGTATGGAGAAAAAACTCGCACTCTTCTCTTCAAATTCCAACGAGTACGGTGCACGAGCGAGCTGCGGGGTGTACCACCCTCCTCTTCAAAGCTTTCGTCCTCCGAAATCTCAGGCTGTACTTTGGGCCTACTAGAGGGTATTTGCGGTACACGATGAAATTTAGGGTTACCCATAAACTCGCGAGGTGTATTTATACTATGGAGATACACGGCAAAATGTTCCCAGCCTTTAGCTTGACAAGTTTTACGGGCTCTGACCACATCTTGAATTAAATCGACAATATTCACGCCATCAAGTGATTGACCATTCAAAGTCACTTGTCCCCTTGCATCCCACTTGAGTTTTCTTCCAGTGTCTACTCTATCGATGTATTCCAAAATACCCAAGGCTTTTCTTTGGAAGGTCGCAGGTATAGTCGCTACAATAGCTTTTGGATCGTATCGTTCGCTAGACCCCGTCTCGTCGGGGGTCTCCGTTTCTTGCACAGGTACTTTACTCTGCTGTGTATAAAACAAATAGCGTCTCAAAACGTCATTATACAATTTCCATTTCTCATGATCATCCTTGGGTGTTTTTGCATTCAAAATTTCCAATAATTGAGCATCCAATCGACTTGTATTAGTGCCAGGGGTTTGAGCCGATGGTTGAATCTCTTTAGCCAGCTCCGTTAGAACGTGATGAACGTCATGTGTAGAATTTTTCTTCAATTTTTCCACACTGTCTTCCGGCACAAGTATCATTTTTCGTGCATGTTCCATGATTATACAACAGCTGAAATGATTGCGCTAATGAGAGGCCCCAATAACATGGGCAGGAATGCGCCGCCTTTCTGATTGAGAATTTTTTTCTTGCTGGATAAACTCTGTCTTTTGTCTGCCAACTTTCTCAAGATTTTTTTATGTTTACACAATTTCGATTTTTCACAATTTTTCAATGGAATATTCCCATGTAATAAATTCAGAGCACACTCGCAAATACAACGAATCAAATCTTTATTGGCGTGTTGTATTAATGCTCGTCGTAGTCTCGGTGGGGCGTGGATCAGTGCGTGTAATAAGGCTGTATTTTTTTCTCCGAGCGACTTGCGAACACAGCCGCTTCCAGAGCGACTTGTCTTTGCCATTACACACGAACGACTGGTACACCACGTGATGAGCCTCCCCCTTTTATATTGTTTTCCTTTCGTGGAACATAAACATAGTGATAGGGGTCGCTGGGGAATACACTGGTACGGAATCTGCAGTTTTCAGGAGTCGACTGTTTTAAATCAAGCAGCAAATATCCATGAGCCTGCGATGTCGCATCGAAATATGCCTCTTGTAAAAATTTTGGATCCTCAGGATATATCTGACGAGCCAAATGGGCAATTTGTGCACGATCTCGAGGATTTTTGAATACGACAATATAATTTGTATTCAATGAAATATCTCGCTGTCCTTTTCCTTGGTGGAATAAATTTTGAGATATAAACATAACACTGAGATTTTTGTGATGACTGCCTTTTGTGAATAAGTCGACTATTGCACCATTCGATGATTCACGCATCAAGTCGTCCACAACAACCAATTTTGGTTTATTATCATCAAAATCTCCGGATCTTGGTAAACCCTCTCGAAATTCGACAAAATTTTTGTCATAATCCGAATATCCATTCTGCCACTCAGCATAATAGAAAATCACTTTTTCAATCGGTGTATGACACATTTCATTAATTTCTTTCAAAAATCTTTTAACAAAATATGTTTTCCCACAACCTGTGGGTCCACAAATTATGGCAGTGAAGGGATGTTTCCACCTTGTATCCATGTTGCCGTCTGATTAAGCATTGTAAAAAAACTCGTCATTTTATACACTTGTATAAGACATTCAAACAGTAGTATGTATTTCAAAACGGCAGGGGGGTGTCGTAAGGCCCAAGCGTTTGACCTGCTAAGGGAGGCTATTACCTCATTGGTCAAGGACAATACGCGTAGGCGTGAACAGGTAAAATACTGGAGATATACACTTGTCCCCCCTATGGCCAATAGTAGGGCACTGACTTTTTCCAATATAGGCTGATTTTTTTCTCACTTAGCCACAGTTTCCTAAAAGGTGTTCGGAATGACGGACCCAAATGATTTACCAGGGCCTAGTGGTGCTTCTAGAGGAAATACCCCACCTCTGGAGTGCGATTTTGATTGGATAAATAATTTTAATCTGGACTTATTGAGCGATTTTGAAATTGAAGATAATTTTGAAGTGGATTTATTCGAGAGTTTTAGCCCCGAGTTTTTTGATGTTCAATATGGTGGTGGTAAAGAAGTGATCAATGATCCGGAGGCGCTCAAAGCCATTGAAGACTTCACTCTAGATTTACTAGATCAACACAATGGTGAGTATCGCATTATATGTTAATAATGATGAATATTTTTTTCTAAAAATATTCTTACCATTGAAAATAAATTCAATTCCAGATGTTCAATTTGGCCGAAATGAAGAGGACTCACCCTCAGCTCTGAGAACAATACGAAGGTCACGCCAGAGGCTCCCTCGTTTCAAACTCGACACACATGTGATCGAGTTTAGAATTAACCCCTCAAGTACGGGGTCCATACCACATATAGACCCGCCAGCCTGTCCTATCGGCCGGGGTCCCTATGTCATATAGACCCTTTCTGCGAATGGTAAAAAATCGTTTCCTCTGGTCCTATTGAAGATATCGGAATTCTGAGAAATATTCTATGAACTGCATAAAATTCCCTACACAATGCAACTTGATTTTTTTTCCAAGGTATTTTCAATATTATTTTTAAATATATAAACATTACGGATCGGAATTCGATGTTCATTGCATCCAAACCTCTCGTTTATCGAGAAAATTTTTATTGAAAATTCTGAAATTTTCACCAGGTACACTCTGAAGGTTCCTCTATCGAATAGCGCAAACGAAATTTTGATTTGATAAATAATTGATTTGTTATTAATAAATTTCCAACAACGGATGATCTCGGCAACTATTTGTACGATCAGATCGAAACTGGTCTCAAAAATTCCGGAAAAATATGAATAGGATAATTCTGTTATTAAACAGAGAAAAAATATTGTCAATTGAGTAAAAAACGACTAATAAATGAAAAGCAATTGTACGCTCCGCCTCAACAGCAGAGTGTGGGTCGCGGTGCGTGTGTGTGCCTGTCTGTGTACCTCGTGGCACAGCCGCGTGCCAAGAGAGTCGCTACAGTGAGCCCGTACCTTCCATGTTCTCTCTGTGTTTACGTTCTTATTTATATAAAAATGGCTAGAAAAGTGCGTGATACTGACGAAATACAAAGACTTCTAGAAAGATCAGAGCTCCAGGATTCTGATTCAGATAACGGTTATGCCGACAGCAGTGATGAACCGGACTCCAGCGAGGTAATTGATGAAAATCGTACTGATGGCATACTTGGGGTTTTTTTCTTCTTTTTTATCGCATACGTTTGGGTTTATCTCAATTTTCCGGTGTTTTTTTCCTGTATGCTCAATGGTAAAGGGTTCTTTTTTTCCCTTGGCATGAACTTTGCTTAGGATGAGCATGAAGAAGATGTGGCGACACTTTCTAAAGACTGGAGAATAGCCGATGAACATCAGTTTCATTGGACGTCGATGAATGATTATGACGGGAAGAAAGAACATTTCAAAGGGCATCTCGGACCTCAAGGGGAGGCAAAAACTGCTAAAAGTATTCTAGAAACTTTTGAATTTTGTTTTTCACGTGACCTGATGACTCTAATTGTCCAGGAGACAAATAAATATGCTCAACAGACCGTGGCAAAAAAAATGCATTATTGAATAAGGTTTTCAAGAGTCATCAAAAAGAGTGGAAATCTGTGACCGAAGAAGAATTGTATGTAATTTTGGCGGTTTTTATGTTAATGGGAATCATCCAGAAACCTTCAATAAAAATGTATTTTTCTACGAGGAGGCTGGTATCCACCCCAATCTTCAATGATATCATTTCAAGAGATAGGTTTGAAGAAATCTGTCGCCATTTACATTTCGTGGATAATGCTACACTGTCAACGTACAAAGGGCCACCTCCACTCTTCAAAATTCATCCCATTTTAAATCATCTGGAAGAAAAATTCAGTGCTCTGTATCTTCCAGACCAAAACATCGCTATCGACGAGTCGTTGTCATTGTGGAAAGGACGCCTTTCCTTCAAACAATATTTACCACTGAAAGCTGCTAAATTTGGGATCAAAATTTATGAATTGTGTGAGTCTGAGACAGGATATCTGTGGAAGTTCATTGTATACCTTGGTAAAGATACGGAAATGGAGTCTGAGCTTGCGACTGTAGATACACCAAAGACGTCAGCTATCGTTCTGAAGCTCGTCCAACCATTGTTAGGTCAAGGGCACATCCTCTGGATGGATAATTTTTATAATTGTCCACTTTTGGCTTTTTATTTGAAGTTCCATCAGACAGACTGTGTGGGTACGCTTCGTATA